TAGCCTAGCCTACGTTACATGTGCTCAGAACACCTACATTAGCCCATAGTTGTGCAAAATCCTCCAACACAAAGCCTACTTTGTGATAAAGTGCTGACTGTCTCAAGCACCTTACTGAGTACTGTACTGAAAGTGAAAGTGGAAGGGTAGTCTGGGTATGGAATGCTTGTACATTTATTGGTTGCTGACCCTTGTGATTGCTGGCTGACTGGGAGCCGCGGCCACTGCCCAGCATCACAAAAGGACAGGACTGCACGTCCCTAGCCCAGAAAAAGATCCAGATTAAAAATTCGAAGTATGGGGTACCTGCGTGGCCCACTCGGTTAAGCATCTGCCTTCGGCTCAGGTCATGATCCCGGAGTCCCGTGTCCGGCTCCCTGCTCAGCAGGGAGTCTGCTTCTCCCTCTCCCTCCGCTCCTCCCCCTCTCAAATAAATAAAATCTTTAAAAAAAATTCAAAGTTCGTTTCCACTGAATGTGTACTATTATCACACCACTGTAAAGTCAGAAAATCCTTTAAGCTGACCAACGTAAGTCAGGGATTGGCTAGACCTCCATCCTCCTCCAGTAGAGTCAGCTCTGTTCTGAAAAAGCCTCCAGGGTCAGTGCTCCTGTCCTATGCATCCCTAATCCTTGCTTCTGCGATCACACGGCTCTTTCTCTAGACATGCTCCCTTCTCAGGGAGCCTGCCTGGGGCCAACACCCGCCCACCAGAGCTCCAGGCTGGAACGAGGGGCTGCCCAACGCTGAGCCTCCTCTCCACCATCTCCGTGGCCTGGCATCTCCCTCACAAAACCCGAACACACCCCGTAACCCCCCAACCCTGGCTCATCTGAAACTTCCCTGTGCCCTTAATATATGGGTTGGAAGAATTAACTTGACTCCTTCCTGAGATTCACCGTCTGAAACTTCAATGTCTCCTCTGGTAAAAATCCAGAGTTCTCTTGAAGCAATATACAGCCAGACTCAGTTACTTCAGGGAGTATTACAATTCCCTCCAAAGCAGCGATATTCCTTCTCTACAGAGTAGCCCAGACAACGCAGAGGCCTCTAACAGAACCCCTATGACACCAGCACTGCTGGCCTTCATCAGTTTTACAATTCATGACCACGTGACCACCCCCGCACTCCACCGTACTGCACCCTCAGCCCCGACCCCGGGGGGTGGCAATCACTTTCCCCCTTCCCAATGCTGCCACCACGTTCTGAGTGCAGACAACAGTTAATTTCCCACAACAGTGAATCGCTAATGCCTCTGCTTCTGAAACAATGGTTACACTCTGAAAATAACAAGAGGAGGAAATCTGTGCTGAAGGAAAATTAATGAAGCTCTGCTAGGACACTGCCAAATTAAGTGACACCACTGTTCCCCCGTTACAACCCAAACAACTTGCCAGCCCCGGAAAAACAAATAAACTAAAACAAATTCCGCAAAATGCTTTTCAGAGCTGAAGAACATTCCTGGTATGGTGTCAATACCACATCAAGTGGAGTTTCTTTTACTCAGAAGAAGGTACTCAAAAGGAGAGTTATGTATTGAACGCTGGGTGTGCATACTTTGTAATACATTCTCCTGCACACAGGAGAATAATTCTATCACATCAACAGGACACATTAACTTGTTCATTGCTGCTAAAAGTCCGCCGTACACATTACACCAAATGGTAATCCCACTTAGTATGAGCGCAGGCTGTAACATTCGATCAGAGGAAAAACTAACGTGGAAGTAAATTATGGCAGGCACTGTAAGCACAGGCGAGGACAGGTCACTCAAGGGTGCCCTAAATCATGTCATCCTTTGTGTGACAACGCAACACCAAGGGGAGGGGGCAAATCAAACTGAGTTCATCTGGTTAAATTCACGCTGTGTCTGGCTTGCAGTGGGGAGGATTACTACCTCTGAGACGCACAAGTGCACCCACAAGCAGGATCCAATGATGGATGCTCTTCTCCCTGGACGGGGCTCAGAATCAGGTGGGCACTGTGGGGGCAGAAGGACTGAGGAGATGGGGAGGTTGGGGAGCAGGTGGGGGACTATCACGGGCACGTATAAGAATCTTACGCTACGGTTGGAGAAAGTGAAAAAAAAAAACAGGCTTTAGACTGTGGGGGTGGAGAAATGTCTTCTGCTCTCCCTCACGGGTGCCACTCCCACTGCAGCAAATGGCAGAAGTGTGAACCCTTTCTTGTGGGAGTCCATTCGGTGCATTCATGAGTGTCCTCCACATGGAGTCTACAGTCAGTACTGGGAGAAATGGTCTCCAGTAGTTCTGGTGTCAAAGCTCAGAGGCAAAGCAGATAATTTACTTACCAACATACCGTTTTTACTAAGTTTTGGTAGTACTGAAATTATGTGATCTATAGTTTCATTTCACAAATGTTTACTGCCATGTGCAAAAAAAGGGGAAAGAGGAATAATAATAGCAGCTACTATTTGGAGAGCACTTGCGAGGCGCCAGCCCCTGTGCCAAGCCCTGCAGTTTTGTACTGATGCCCTAACAAACTTAGAGGCTAAAAAAAAAAATGCCCACTTATAATCTACCGGGTCTGTGGGTCAGAAGCCAGGTGCGGTGTGGCTCAGCTGGTTCTCTCTCTGCCCTCACAGGCTGAAATCAGGTGTCAGCAGGGCTGCGTTCCTGCCATCAGTGGGTGAGTCAAGCTGTTGGCAAAATTCAGTCGCATGAGGCTGCAGCACTGAGGTCCCCATCTCCCTGCTGGCTGTGGGCTGGGAGCTCCCAGAGGCTGGCCGCAGGCTCTGGTTCAAGGCCGCCTTCTGAGCCAGCAGCCGTGGGTCAAGTCCCCCTGACCTCCGCAGTGCCTGTCTCTCGGAAGCATCCCTTCTACTAGATCTCTCCAACTAGCTCCTCCACCTACTGCTGCCGCTGCTTTTCAAACTCACGTGATTATGTGGGCCCACCCACATAACCCCAGGGAATCTCGGTGTCTTACTGATACCAGCTGATTCACGACTGCAGCATGCAGACTCTCACACTTTGCAGTTCTGCCTGTGAGCGCCCGCCCTATCACGCGCATTACCTCAATTAACCCTCACAGCAAACCCACGATCAGGTCCATGGGGAACGTGAGCCTATTTATCTATTACCTGGATCATCTATTTCACTTCACAAACTACAGCCTAACCCCAAAATAAATCCCCGATAGATTAAATAATTACATGTTTTAAAAAAACAACAGCAAAAAAGTCACACAAACAAAAAACACCATGGCTGAATATTTCTCTATTCTTGGACACTTAGAACATAAAAGAAATAGAACAACAAAGGGGGAAAATAAACAGATGAGACTGTAATTATAAAATTTCAGTGGAATTAAAAGGCAAAAGCCAGATTCAGGGGGATGGGCAAATGTTAAATATATACCAAATGATTAATATCCCTATTATGAAGAACTCCTACGAAAAGCAAATTTTTTAAAAAAGGTAAAAGAACTATTTAGATTTTTTTGTGTGAATTTTAATATGTTAGAAAACATCTAGCTTTTTTAGTCAAAGAACCATGTGTTTTCTATCGAATTAGCAAACTATTTTGTTAGTAGTTTTTGAAGATAATGCTCAGTGCTACTCCTGTGTCCGTGAAACAGACAACACCGAACAAGGAGGCCATAGCAGCATTTGGTAAAATTCGCATTTGAACTCTTTATTAAGGAAATAAAATTCAGAGGAAGATAGTTATAATAAAACACTGGAGAACATTTAAGGATAGGAGTAAATAAAGCACGGTATACCCATATGATAAATCCTGCTCAGCAACTATACCGGCTTTCCAAGATACTTTGCATTGACATGGGAAAATGTCCATGACTGGATAACGTGCAAAAGCAGAACACTACCCTATCCATGCAGGAGGAGGGCAGGTGATAATCAAGCTTTGGAGCCTGAAACCTGAGGCTGAGTTCTGGCCTGACTGCTTAACAGCCCGATGGCTTGGGGCAGACCACAACCCAGTTCCAGTTTTCCATAAATATTCAAGGGGGGATGATACCATTTACCTCTCAGGGCTCTGGTCAGATTTAAATGAGAATGAACGTGAAGTCTGGTGATCCTAAGAGGCCTGCTAAGCAAGCACCTGGTAGAGGTTCTCATCGGCACACCTCAGACAAACCCTCCTTCCTAGGCTCCTGTGGCTGTTGTAGTTGAGGTGCCACACACTAGGTGAACTAAAACACCAGAAATCTCTTTTCCCACAATTCTAGAAAACAAGGTGTTGGCAAGGCCACGCTTCCCCCAAAGGCTCTAGGGGAGAATCGCTCCTTGCCTTGTAGGTGGTGCTGGGGCTGGGGCTGCATGGCCTCAATCTCTGCTCCGTTGGTGTTCGTGAGACCTGCTCTTCTCCCCATGCATCTGTGTCTTCTCCATTCTGTCTCTTATAAAGACACTCGCCATTGGAAATACGGCTCACCTGGGGAATCCAGGCTGATCTCATCTTGAGATCCTTAACCTCATTACATCAGCAAAGACCTTTCCCCCACGTAAAATCACATTCACAGATTCCGGGGATTAAGACATGGATGTATCTTTTTGGGGACCACCGTCCAACACACTACAGCCCCCAATCCCTGACTCCTTGAGAGTGGCAAAGTTACTGAGGCTTTAAACTCTCAGATGTGGAATTTCACTATTAAGTAGCATTCCACACCAGCCAGCACCCAGCAGGAAGCTCGAAGTACTTTTGCACAAGTGGGGCAGGCAAAGGATGTGTTACGCAGTGGGGAGGGTCGTGCACTACACAAGCCCTTCTGGAACAGACCATGAGGATCAAAGCCAGGAGGGCTCGGGGCAGTGCAGCCAAATGCCCACAGTGCCGTCACCGTTCTTTATCACAGAAACTAGGATAGTGCCTTGTACCCAGTGAGACCATTTCAGAAACAAGGCACAGCTCCCACTCACTGTGGTTGGGGCAGAAGGCTCTGGCTGGGAGCCGGCTGCTCTGGGGAGCCCACCCACCAGGCTCGATGTGCTGTCAGTGTGCACTCTCACTCACCTTCGATGTAGAGCGGCTCCACCACGTCGTGGTTAATCAGCTCGAAGTTCTCATGGCCAATCCAGTGCTCCACATTCCTCTTCCTCCCCGTGAAGAAGTTGTCCACCACAGTCACCTCGTGGCCGTCCATCATGAGCTTGTCGGTGAGGTGGGAGCCCACGAACCCCGCTCCTCCGGTTATCTGCATGCGCCCCACATCCCCAGAGAAAGCACAAGAGGACACGGTGACAACCAACTTCAAGGGGATTTGGCTTTGGTGCAGCCACAACTTAAAACTTGGAAGGAGAGCAAGGAAGGAAGACGCTAACAGTTTACAGACAGCATCTTAGCTCTTCCTCCAGAACAAATTGTCACATACTACTGCCGACTTCTAAGCAGCCTAAAAATTGAAGCTACCACCCAGTCAATAGCACAGAAAAATAGTTTCAAGTTTCCAAATGTCTCCTCTAACAGACAATTTTACATTAAAAAGTTCTTATTTTATAATGGAAAGAACACTGAACATCACTTATATAATTCTACCACTACTCCTGCAAAGTTTCAGAATGACTCTCTTTTAAAAAGTGATTAGCAACATGCAGAGATTCGTTGAACTCTGTATGTGTATGTGGTTTTTAAAACTGGACACAAAAATGTCATAAAAAAGGATTATCTTTCCAACTGCTTATGAAAACAAATGAATAAGCAATAGATACTGTTTGCAGACCAGAGCCCTAAGTGATTAAGTTCTACCGTCCGGTCCCTGTCTAAGCAGGAACGTGACCACTGCGTGGGGTCCGCTGACGGGCCCCAAGGGGGACAGGATGCAGCTGTGGGGGGCAGGGGGCCAGCAATACTGTGCTTCCAAAGCCTGAGCCACAACAAACATGAAGAGGCAATCACGAGTGAAAGTCACTGTTAAACTAACAGAAAGACTTTATTCAAATTAAATGATAACTATGGAGGGGGCCAGATAAAGCGTACTGAGTGTTGGGGAGGAAGGAGTGAAAAGAACACTCAGAAAGTGGACTAGCAATGGGCAAACACCTTCTCTGTCCTGTTCTGTTCTCCGCTCTGCCTTCTCTGCAGTCAAAACTTGCACTCACCTCACCCTCCTGTTCCGAACTGAAAGAATTAACACCAGGAAAAAAAACACCAATTCTTTTACCAAAACAAAACAAAACACATAAACCCTTAGGCATATGGTTTTAAAACATTTTGTTTGCCACGAAGTGCGATAAAATCTGACACATAATTCAGATGTTTACCACGGGTGAGAACAAAGCAGCCCGGGGTGAAGGTCGTCGATTTGGGGAGCGGGGAGGGGTCATGCCAGCCACAGAAGAACCACATCAACACCACCCAGACATTTACATATGCTCTGATGAAAATACACACACAGCTCAGCCATGAACAACACAGCTGTGATCTGCACAGCTCCACTCTCACGCAGATTTCTGTCCGATAAACACGGGACAGGACTGTGACTGTATTTTCTCTTCCTTACGATGTTCTTAATAACATTTTCTTTCCCCCAGTTTATTCTCTTGTAAGAACAAAATATGTAACACACGAAACACACAGAGTATGTGTGAATCGACTGTTCGTGTTATGGTAAGGCTGCCACTCAACAGCAAGCAAAAGGAGGCAACAGTCACACACGGATTCTCGGCAGCACGTGGGGGGTGGAGGGTGGGGGAGGTCAATGCCTCTCAACCCTGAGTTGTTCAAGGGTCAGCTGTATCATGGGTGAGAAAGTGGATGGCTGAAAAGTCCTGACGCTCCACAGCTTTCGATCAGCTGCATTCATTCTTTATGGAGAGCACCATTTCCTAAATCATCTCTGCTTCGCAGATAGGGAACAGACACCCATAGACCTCATAGATATATACAGAACATTCCAGAATATGCATTCTTCTTGAGCGCACATGGAACTTTCTCCAGAATA